ATATATATAATATAATATATATTTCCTCACCTCTCCTCGCACTAACAGAACAAGTGGCCATGTTTGTAGCACTGTACTAGACTAGACTGACTATAGAGTACAGTTTATAAATTTTCTTGTTTTCTCCCCCCAGCTTCGGATCACCGCCTTGAACGACACAGCCAACACCCAGGATGACCCTCGCAACATCCAGCTCTCCAAGACAAAGGAGGCCAAGGTGTTTTTTCCCAACTTGTTTTTGTTTTGCAAATGTTTTTTGTGCCCATTTCCTTACCCTCTGGCCAAAGATTTCCTGCTAGCTGACAGTGAGACTAGGTTTATGATTGATCTTTAAATAGTTTATATTAAACTAAGCATTCTGCTGTCTGCTCCCAGCGGAATGCAAGATTTTGCTAATGAGGACTGACTGTATACTTCATTTAGTCTAAACAAAGCCTCAACATGTGTGGCTTAGGTCAGGTAACGGCTCTGACACATACTGTTACTTTATGGTCCTGATCTATGGAAAAGTAAACATTCTCTTTTAAGTAGCTGTTTTGGGTTGTTGTTTCTTTACACAGATTTTAACATTTCTTTTTGAATTGTTGTGCTTTTTCAGGAAGCAGAGGCATTTGCTGTGTATAACAAGGCACTGCTCCACCAGCAAAAGGGAAACTCTGTGTATACAGAAAAGCTGCTCCGGAATCTCTTTGACCACCCACTGCTGAGAGAGGTTTGTTGTAGAAGATTTTGGATTGAGAGACGGGAACATGTTTCTACAATGTGAAAGATTTTTTTTTTTTTTAAAGATGGTTTTTGAGGGGCTCCACTGGTGGCGGGGTCCTACTTCTTTACTTTTTCTCGTGTTTGTCTATCTTGCTTTTTTTCACATTGCTAAATGGTAACTAAAAATAAGTTCAAAGTTCAAGTCTGAAAATGGAAATTATAGAGCAACACAAAATAGATAAAGGTTACAGTTTTCTTGTTATGTTGAAGAGAAAGAGGAAAGAATGAAGAAAGCAGTACAGTACAGGCTGGAAACAGAGGCCAGTTCAGGACTTTTTGGACTGGTCGACCTGACAATTTATTGGTTTAAAAAAATGACTGTTTTGGATTGTTTGTAATGACAATATGGCTGTAGGTACAATGGGAGACCTTCAGAATTTATAGTCCACCGACTTTGCTGTCATTATATTATATATTTGTGTTGCATCTTTTTTTTCATTTTTTGTTTTGTTATAAATGTTTATGTTTTGGTCCTTTCTGTTGATTGTAGGGGGTTTTTTTTTCTTTTTTTAAAAATTCCATTTATTTATCTGAATATCCACTTTGTCAGGCTGCAAGTCTTGTGGAGGATGAGGCTCAAACTCCCAACCACAGAGGGCTGCAACTGTTGTACTCTATCCACAAGAACCTGGCGTCTATCTTGCTGCAGCGAGATGACTACCACGAGGCTATGGCTTCTTACATTCAGGTATACAGGAGAGGGGATTGGAGAATTGGAGGGGTGTAGGCATTTGGCTTCTTACGCACGGGTAAATTTTTTTTTTTTTTTTTTTTTTTTAAATATTTTTTGGCAGGGGGGGGGACATTAGACCTCATGCATACATGTGTCATGGCTTTTTCAAAATGGACTCAAATTGGAGGTTGGGGAGGCGGGGGGGATGTATTTACCCCTTTCGTTTTAATGTGTGTTTGATTTTTTTTTTTTTTCACCTGTTACCGCCCTGTTTAGGCCGTCCGCATCGACTCGAGTGAAGTGACGGTGTGGTACAAGATGGGCCATGTGGCCCGCAAACTGCACAATTATCCCTTGGCCAAGATTTGTTTCCAGCAGGTATGTCTTCTCTAGTATTCCAGATTTCTGAAATCGTCCAGATTTTGTCACATACTCCTGCTCGTACATTATATATCTTTTAAATATCTTTTGTGCATGTATATTGCACTTTTTGTCGTATTTGTGTTAGTCATTCTGTAGTTTTTGCTTTTCAAGAATTTTTATGGATTGAGGGTGCCTCGAAAGGTGTCACTGGTATGTCCCACTTGTTTTCTTTCCCTTTGTTATTTCTGTCTGTCTGTCTTAGTTTTTCCCAGTACTACAACAGTACCTGCTATTATCAATGTGCTTCTCTCTACTCGAACAAACACCTTAACGCCTTGTAGAGACCTAAGTAACTTTGAATATCTGCACAAAACAAACGTTCTAAAAAAGGCGGAAATAATGCTTAATGACAATAGCCACCCACTGACATCGGAATTTCAATTATCGACCCGCAGTAACGATACATTTCTAATAAAGCAAGTACAGACAAATATAGAAACTCATTCGTACCACTTGCAGTGAGATTACTGAACGCACAGTGCTACAAATGAAACAGAGAGAGAGAGAGAGACTGTTTTACGGAGCGGGTTGTTCCAGCATGTGATACATGTATTTCCTAATGTCCTGTCTTGTTGTGCGTATGCGTGAGTGCACCTAACCTTTGTAACGTCTACTGCCATTGTTAACGACCAAGACAAATTTGCCCCTGCGAGATAAATACAGATTGTCATTTGTCATTGTGTCATTTGTCATTGTGTCATTGTTGCCTTTCAGGGCTTGGTGTGTAACCCGAACCACTGGCCGTGTCTGGACAATGTGATCACTGTGACCTTTGCTCTGGGAGATTACCTCAGTAAGTAGAAATTGTCACGCTCTTAACACCTTTGCCGCCTCATCTGGCCGATTGGCAACGTTTACCACCCAGTTTCTTTGGGTTTTCCCCAAAATATGATGGCAAAGTGTTAATGCCTCAGTATAATTTTTTTTTTGCCTTCCAGTTATTGCCCTAATTTGTGTCATTTTTTTTCGTGATGTGCTTCATAGTGATGTGTAAATTATACCTCAACAATATTTCTTGGTGAAAAGAAGGAGTGATTGACCGTTTATTAGGACACACTGATGGGAGTAGGTGGATGGAGGAGGCTCTGGTACTGCTGAAAGCTGACAAAACGGCCTTTTTTTCTTCACTGCAGTTTCGAGAAAAAGAGATTTTTTTGTCAGCGTAACCATTTAAAAATAGAGTGATTCCGAAATTTGAATTTGAATATATTCAAAAACTAGTCACAGTTTCACTTTGATTTTTTCACACAAGTAAGGTTACTGATCAGACTTTCGATTTTGCTAATAAAAAATTTTGGTGCCGAAATGAAAAAAAGGCATTTTGTCAGCTATGGGCAGGGTAGCTCCCACTTCTTTTCTTTCCTCCTGGTGTCTCTGGCTGTCAGTCTTAATTTTTTCCCTGTACTAAATGAGTTTTGTGTTTATATGCTTTTTTTTTACTCGATCAAACAAACAATTTCAGATTCCTTTAACTCGTGTTTTAAGAAATGTCCTCCTCTTCCCCAGTGTGCTTGGAACACATCAGCACTGCCTTGGAAAAGGACGCGGGTTACCCTAAAGGTCTGGTATTCCGTAAACAGATCATCAAGGAACATCCGTCTCTGGAGAGCCTGACAAAGGAGTTGTTTCTCCACTGGTAACTTACACTCGGTTTTGTTTTGCCTCCCGTTACGGATTTTCCGTATTTAGTACGGAAATCAGCCTCAAAATACGGAAGTACGGAAACTTCGGGAAAGCATGGATTTTCATCGAATCGTCGATAATAGGTTATCCGGCGTTCGCTGACCAACAGAATCGAAAGATTCGATCTTTTAATTATGCGAATATCAAAAACTACGATGGAAGGGGAAGTGAATTTCTTTCTTATTGTTTACATCCGAGCAGTAGGCCTGGGCATTATTCGAAAGAGTTCTGAAACGTACTGAAAAAGTAGGGAAGTGGGTGGTTGGCGGGTGCTCTGGTGTGGTTCGCTCCTTCTTTCCTATCAAACTTCTATCGTCCTTATCTCCCCTCATCCTTTTTTGTGTCTGTTACAACTGTCTTGTAACACCTCTAATTTTCGGCACTTATATGACCTTATTGTGTTGAAAGTGCCGTAAAACTTTTTACTAAAACAAAGTAGGGAAAAGTACTGAAAATTGGCATAGGAGCAGCCTACTGGTCTGATAGGCTCTTTCATGGGTAGGCAGCTCTGGGGGATGGATGGGCCTAATAGTAGATCTTACTTCTTTACTCTCCCTCTGTTGTTTCTGCATGTGTGTCTTACCTTTTTCCCCTTGAAACTTATATATATATATAAAGCAAAACCAGCTGTAGTGGCTCGGTCCAACGTTGTGTCCTTGGGAAAGGCACTTTACACGAACTTCCCACTTGGCTCTGTCCTGTCGGAGACGGACGTTAAACTAGGAGGTCCCGCCCCTTAACTAACCTAATAGTGTTGATAGGGGCGTTAAACCCATACCATTTCACCATTTTTACACCAGCTGTTGCAGCCACCTGTATAAGACAATCACCTGTACAAATAACTTCTTCCCATTTCCCCCCTAGCGTATTTTTTTCATTTTAATGATACCGTGTAAGATGTCCACCTGTCTAAGACGAACCACTTTTCTTTTTTACAATGAGTAGCCGTGTTAAACAATATAATAATAATATAATAATAACATTTATATAGCGCTTTTTTTAAAAAGTAGCTCAATGCGCTTTACATTGGAATACCCATTTTTCGAAAAACTTTTCTTACTATTTCCTTTCTTACTACTTCCTTTCTTCTCATGCAATATATATTAATACACACGCACACACACACACAGACTATTTTCATCCAGACATAGGAACAGAACAACTGAACAACTATAATGAAAAATAACGTTAAAAGCTTATGAAGGATATGGGCTGTACTTATAGTGTAAAGAAAAAAGAAAAAAAGAGTTCAAATCTGTTGGTTCTGATTGTGTAGGGATTGAAAAGCTCAGTGGGGCGAATAAATGGAGACTGGGTCTTCTTGATATATACATCTTTTATTAATGTCTCTCCAAGTTGATTTTGCTAGTGGAAGAATTCTTTTCAGATTTGCATAATATTTGATGATTTTAAAAATTTTTTTAAAAGTTCAGTTACTGCCAGGTCACATGCGACTTGTCGTTAATTAAGAGAAAATACACATGTGTGTCATGCTACGATTGAATCAGAAGCTCCTCAGTTTTTGGTCTGATTGAGTTATTGGTATGATACTAAAAAAGGTTGTTCCTTTGTCCGAATTTTGATGAGTAAATACCCATCTATTTTGAATAGAGGTCGGGATATTTGTGATTGGAGGAGTTGGGGTCAGCTGTAAAATTAGCGAGAAAATGGCTTCCAAAGTTTGGTTACTTTAGAAACTTCAAATTTATATTTTTTGTGCCTTTGATTATGTTTTTCAGTAAATTTCAGACAGAAATTTCTTTTTGAACAGGACATTATAAATGTTTGGAACCTCTTCCCCCCAAATAAAAAAATTAAAATTTCTCTACGGATGGAAAAATTCAGTTTTTTAAATTTCATTATTTTGACAAGCACCTAATTTCACCATGATGCCACATTCATTTATTTGCTTTTGTTTGCAATAGATATTTATTTGGATGCGTTACATATTCTTAATCTGTTGGAAACTCTGGAGGCTTTATTATTTTTTTTTCAAACTCGTATGTTTTGGGAGGATCTTAAGGACATATATTTTTCACCATAGAATGGTTGGCAGGTCTGGGATTTTGCAAAGAGAGTTTCTGTGCTTTCAGTTTTCCAACTTTTTTCTTTTTGTCAGCGATCCTTTCATGGATTCTTCACCGGTTGACGAGGAGGAGGCAGCAGAGGTATGCTCCCTTTGAACGTTGAATGTTTTTTTTGGTCACATTCCCCCCCCACCCCCTTCTATGTCTAGTGTGTTTTATTGTTCTTCTTCATCAATCACTGGAAGCAGGTCGCGACCTCAGTGCTTTTGTGTCGTATATCCGTTTTTAATAGCAGTGAAAACAGTTTATAACAAAGAGTGAGCTTGAGAAGAAGTCCCATTTTCACTGTTTTTAAAAAATGGAGATACGACGAGAAAGCACTGAGGTCACGAGGTGGTTGGAGAGCACCTCTGGTAGGTTTTACTTCTTTTCTTTTCTTTGTTCCCTCCATCTGTCTACTACAACTTTAAGAAAGAAAATGACTTGAGCAGAAGACAAACAGTTGAAAAAAAACAACTGGACACTTTGCTACAAATGCATTTTGTTGCTGCTGTTTCTTTGAGTCTGACATATGGACGGGTGGTTGGAGGGTTCCACTAGTAGGTCCTACTTTTTATTTTCCTTCTGTTGTTTCTGTCTGTCTGTCCCTTTTACTCTTTCCCTGCATTGTGTCTGACATATGGAAGGGTGGTTGAAGGGTTCCACTAGAAGGTCTTAACTTTTTTTTTCCTTCTGTTGTTTCTGTCTGTCTGTCCGTATATAATTATTACTGTTTCCGTGCTGTAAATTATCATCATTGTGTCGATCACTTTCTGCTTTCTCAACTTGAAACTCGAATTATTATTTTTATTTGTTTCTGTCTGTCTATCTCTTTCTTTCCCTGTACTAAATAACTGTTATTATGTTAATGTGCTTCTCTTTACTCATGCAAACTGAACGATCGTTGTTGTATTAATGTGTTTCTCTTTACTAAAACAAACAAAATGACCAAAATTTTTTCAGTGTTCTTCTCATTGCTCAGACAAACTAAATGATCAAAATTTTGTCAGTGTGCCTCTATCTATTCAAACAAACAGACAAACTCAATAACCCTTATTGTTTCGATGTGCTCTCTGTACTCAAACTCCATGCGCGGATGGTTGGTGGGTGCTCTGGTGTGGTCTGCTCCTTCTTTCCTATCAAACATCTATCGTCCTGATCTCTCCTCCTTCTTTTTTGTGTTTGTTACTCTCTCGTAACACCTCTAATCTTCGGCACTTATATGACCTTATTGTGTTGCAAGTGCCATATAACGCTTACTAAAACAAAGAGACAAACTGAATAACCATTATTGTTTCGATGTGCTCTCTATACTCAAACTCTACGTGTTTTGTACAGCTCCTTGAGGAAGCCAGGAAGATCCGCACAAAATGTCGTCAGTTGGCCTCGGAGGACAGAGAAAAAGAAGCACAGCCTGTGACCTTTGCCAAGTCTCTGACCCCCTTCACGTGAGTGCTTGCCCATGATTCATAATTGCTTTGTCTCTTGTGTAGTGATTGGGCTCTTTGCCTTCACACACAAAAGACTTGAGATCAATCCTGTGTGGGGAGGGTGGTTTTTTTGTTGGGTTTTTTTTTCCCACCTAGTCTGTTTGTCTGTGGGTGGTTGGGGGGCGTTCTGGTGTGGCTTGCTCCTTCTTTCCTATCATGCATCTGTCGTCCTTATCTCCCCTTCTTCTTTTTTGTGTTTGTTACTCTCTTGTAACACCTCTAATCTTCTAGCGCTCATATGACCTTATGCAGTTGCGAGCCCCGTAAAACCTCTACTAAAACAAAACAAACAAACTGTTTGTCTGCTGGGACACTGCATTCCTCTCAGCTCAGCTTGTACCTGACAGGCAGGGTCGAAGCAGTCTGCTTCCTGAATTATCTACATGAAGAGCACAAGGGAAAAACGACTGTAGTCACAAACTGGAAATTGTGAGGGTGTCAATTTTAAAAGCTTGTGGACTCATAACGTCATATTTGTTTGACTGGTGGTTTATTGTTAAGTGTTGTTGAATGGGAAATCTATAAAAAAATTAATCAACCAACAGTTGAACAGAAATACAGTTAGGAGGAGTCAACAAGCGTTGGAAATTGGTACCCTCACGATTTTCAGTTTGTGACTACAATCGCTTTTCCCCTGTGGTCTTCACATGTTCTCAATGGGAATATAAAATATTTACAATTATTTACGATTTTTAAATGTTAAACAATTTTTATTTAAATTGTAAACAATTTTTATTCAAATTTTAAAAATTTTCCTTTTTGTTTTGTGCAGGTGGACCAATGTTGGCGAGCAGTTGATATCTCTCTATGATTTTGCCACAAGCAGCCAGCCACCGAAGGTAAATTGCTTCAGGCTCTACGCAAGTAACCACGTCGATGGTGGTTGACGGGTGCTCTGGTGTGGTTTGCTTCTTCTTTCCTATCAACTGGCGCTCATATGACCTTATGCAGTTGCGTGCGCCGTAAAACCTCTACTAAAACTAAAACTTTCCTATCAAACATCTATCGTCCTTATCTCCCCTTCTTCTTTTTTTATGTTTGTTTCTCTCTTGTTTCACCTCTAATCTTCTGGCGCTCATATGACCTTTTGAAGTTGCGAGCACCATAAAACCTCTACTAAAACTAAACTAAAATAATCACGTCAGGATTTTGTTTGTATTGAACAGGGAGTAAAAGATTTCATGGCATTGTGGATATAGTGTCTATATTTAGTGCTTTGTTGGTAAGGGCCCACATCTTTTCCTTACCTCCTGTGTTTCTGTCTGTCAGACAGGCATGGGGAAAGCAGCCTGCCTCTTAAATCATGTAAATTGTGTGGAAGGGGCATAGAACACTTATATTTACATGTTTTCCCTCTGTCTCCCCCTACCTTTCTCTAACAGACCATCATTGTGTCAGTGTATATCTCATTGTGTCGGTGTATATCTCGTTGTATCGGTGTATATCTCGTTGTGTCAGTGTATATCTCATTGTACATTTCGATGGTGTTAGTTTCTGATCTTGCCGCTGGACATATATTTTTTTTTTGTTCCTCAACTATTGCTGAGTGGGTGGTTGGAGGGCGCTGCTGGTAGGTCCTACTTCTTAGCTTTCCCTCTGTTGTTTCTGTTTGTCTGTCTTACACTAAATGACTATAATTGTGTCGATGTGCTTCTCTTTACTCAAACAAACTATTGCTGAGGTCAATCTACAGGTGAATGGTTGCCGGCTGCTCCTGTGTAGTTTGCTCCTTCTTTCCTATCCAACATCTATCATCCTTATCTTCCCTCCTTCTTTTATTGTGTTTGTTACTCTCTTGTAGCACTTCCTCTAATCTTCGGCACTTATCTCTGGCTGAAATCAAACAAAACCTTACACAAAAAGTTTAAAAGTAAAAGGGACAAAACGTATGACCTATTGTGTTTGAAGTGCCATAAAACTCTTCCTAAAACTTAGACTCAATCTACAGGTCCTCAAGAGAAAAGAAATGCGAAGTGAGCGTGTGCTGTAAATGGTATAAAATGTCCTCTCAGCTAACTTTTGTGCCTTCTCTCATCGTTTGCAATAAAAAAGGATTTATTTTGTCTGTTGAGTGGGTGGTTGGCGGCTGCTCTGATGTCGTTTGCTCCTTCTTTCCTATCAAACATCTGTCGTCCTTATCTCCCCTCCTTCTTTTTTGTGTTTGTTACTTTCTTGTAACCCGTAATCTATTCTTTGGCACTTATATGACCTTATTGCGTTGCAAGTGCAGTAAAACTCTTACTTAAACTTGTCTGTTGAAAAATTTTCAGATACTCGGTTAAATGGTCAAAGCCTAACTCATCAGTTGTTGTTGGGTTTTTTTTCAATTTACTTTCAGAGTCTTGGACTTGAAGTGGACATGAGGGACTATTTCTTCCTGGACCAGTCAGTTCTGGGATCAGGTCTCTCAACAAACAACGCAGATTCAAACCGAAAACCAATTGGGTCGAGGAGAGTTTCCTTCGAGGCGGCCACACCCACCGAGGGAACAGGAAGCGCCTTCCAGCGCGCTAAACAGCGGGGCGCCGTAGTCAAGGTCACGCCCAAGTCTCTGAACATCTCGGATTTTATGAAAGAGTCGGCGCTGTTGGAGAGGTTACAGGGCCGGGCTCCGAGCGGTGGCAGCGGCAGTGGTAGTGGTAGTGGTGGTGAGGAGAGGAGGAAGTCCTCCGCCGAACCGAGAGAGGGGAGAGAACAACGTCCACCGAGAGAGGGGAGAGAACAACGTCCGCAGGAGGAAGTTGGCAAACGAGCGGGCCAGACGGGAGGAGCAGCAGAAGACGACGACGAGGGGATGGAGGTTGACCCGCCCGTTCTGTCTCTGCTACAGGGGGAGGGGGAGATGGACATCAGTCTGGAGGATATTCAGAAAATTCCCCTGGCCCCCGATCTGCTCCTGAAGGCGGACGAAGAATGCCTGGCGCTGGCAGACGTCACGCCTCTCGAGCTGGCAGATGCCAAGTCTCTGGACCACGTTCTGGCGTCCGTCATCGATATGGAGTTTGCCCAAGCGGCCGGGGAGGACAAGGACAAACAGGGTCCCAGCTCGGCCATGGTGGAAGATGCGGCAAAGTCTGGTGAGCCGAGACAGACGTCTGCTGAGCTGGGTGGGGACCCTGGCGTTGTCCGAAGGGAGGAGGGGGAAGAGGAGGGTGGCTGCGCTGTTGTTGCGACGGTCGGTTCGGATGGAGCTGGAGCCACTGAGGGCGTGGCCCCATCCAGGGCTGTGTTGTTGTCACCTCGTAGCCACGGCTCTCTTGGCCATGCCCACCTTTCTCCAAGTCACGCCCAATCCTCTCCAGGCCATGCCCAAGTTTCTCCTCCCAGCCACACCCACCTGTCTCCAAGTCACACCCACCTGTCTCCAAGTCACGCCCAAGTTTCTCCAGGCCACGCCCACCTCTCTCCCCCTGTAGGCACCAACACTCCGAGCCACACCCGCCCTGCTTCCTCCCCTAAAGGTCACACAGCGTTAGGTCAGTCTCACATGTCACCTGGCCATGACCTCCAGGACCTCAGAGGTCAACCAGAAATGTCGCTTAACCCGCCCCGTGCCGCCGCCCATCTTCCCCCTGGATTTTCTTCTCCTTCAAAATCTTCCACCCACGGTGAGAACAATGCTGGAATTCCCCCTTCTCCTGCCCCTCCCGGCTCCACACCCCATCCCTCCTCCTCCTCCTCCCCTCGACAAACCATCTCCACCCTCTCACTCACGGCTGTCCAACAGTTAAACTCCGCCCCTCTCTCCGTGTCCCTGGACAAGTACTCCACCCAGCTTCAGCCGCCAGAAGCGGTCCACTCCCCGATTGCGACATTCCTTCTGTCCCCCAACTCTTCGTCTACGACCGTTCCAAGATGGTCGCCTTATCTCAGCGTTTTGGATACCCCACTTCTGGGACATGCGACCCGTGAAGGCGGGGCGGTGAAATCTGAAAGCTCAAAACTGGCTCAGCAGGATTTGATAAGCCCTTCTCATGATTCCCAGACGTTGATGAAAAGTCCATCCCAAGCGTTAAAAAGTCCGCCGCAAGCGATGAAAAGTCCTTCCCAAGATTCACAGGCGTTGAAGAATTATTCACAGGCATTAAGTCCTTCTCGAGATTCTCAGCAGGTGTTGAAAAGTCCTTCGCAAGATTCTCAGGTCTTGAAGAGTCCTTCGAAAACTTCTCAGGCGTTGAAAAGTCTGTCTCATAGCGGAGAGAAGGGGGTGGGGGCGGAGAAAATGCTGTCGTCAACAGCCGCGGAGAGAGTGAGACGTGGAGATTTGATCGAAGACATTGTGCGTAGTCATCTGGCATCTGATGCTGGGCAGGGTCCAAGCGTTTCTCCACTGGACGTTCACAGGTCAAAGGTCGTTAATCTGGGTTTGAAATCTCAGTCATCGGCTGTTGCTTTGTCTGGTGTGGTGGGTGCTTCAGTGGGATCCAAACCCCCTACAGGACTTCTGGCTACAACAGCGAGCCAGCTAACTCCGCAGGGAGGAACCACCGCACCCCACCACCTCCGTCTAGGACACAGCTCGGCGAGTAGTGGGAATTTTCCCACTCGTCACCAACACGATCGTCTCACCAGTATTGACGTCCCATTGGTCGCTCACGAGGTAAGCAGCTGTCCTTTGTCACCACGACAGCAACAACAACAACAACAGAGCGCAGTCTCTCTTCTGCCGCGGAGACACGCCCACTCCGACCCTGTGCTGCCCCAAGAGAAGTCGGGAGAGAGGTCAGAGTTCGTGTCGGTGGCGCCCAGGTTGAGCCGGACACAGAGCGCTCTGTCTGCCTTACACGTGGAATCTTTGCTAGGACTTCCTTCCCCAGCTACTTCTTTGTCCAGCCAGCCGGGAAGACGTTCGGAATGGGGCACGGAAGGGCTGTTGACCACAGCTGCTGCTGCTGCCCACCAACGCGAAAGTGGACATATAAAGTCAAGGTCATTGTTGTCAAGGTCAACGTCAGTGCCGGGCTACTACAGCCAGCACAAGTTGTCGTCGACAGATTTATCCCATCACCCATCGGTTTTAAGCCCACCACACCACAACCCTCCCTCCTCCTGGTGGTCGTCTTTCTTCCCCGCCTCCTCCTCCTCCTCCCCCTCCCTCACTCCCTCGCTGAACCAACAGCCGCTCAGCTCCCTGCCAGGCTCCTCCTTGCTCCGCGGCCAGCCGAGTTCGTTTCCTCCGTACCCCGTACGCGGCAGCCACCACAACAACCCGGACGTGAGAAATGCAACCCCAACCCCCTCCTCCCCTCTTCTGTCCAGCCTTCCACCAGCACCACCTTCATCAACAACTACCACCCCGCTCTGGCAACCTTACTCCACACGTCCACCTCTGTCTAGCGGCCAGTCGAAATCTGGGAAGGTTTCAACGTCTTATCAGACAACGTCATCATCGTTGTCACCACCCACGCAGTTGGCGGGACTTGTACAGAGAAGCCCGCACGGGTCGCCCAGTAAGATCTTGTCTCCCACCGGCACTTCACCTGAGCATCAGAGAGCCCTCTCACACTCTCCCATTTCCTCTCAGGGGCGACAAGCCAAAGGTCTCTCGCTTCTCAGTCACTTGTCACCCTCTGAAGGTCACACGGGGGGTCATGCTCAAGGTCGCGATGGGGGAAGTGTTGACAGCCGCGTCGGTTCTACAACCCAGAGCCGGGCTTCTGGTCTCTCACCGCACAAGACTCCTGTCGCAGCCAGTCAAGGTAGCCACCACAGGATTTACTGTCATTTATTACACACTGCTTCTTTTTCTTCTTTCTCTCTTTCCTCTCCTCCTGTTCCTCCCCTCCTGTTCTTCCTATCTTTCTCATTTATGCAGGTGGTTGGTTGGAGGGCACCTGAGGTGGGTGTGGGTGGTTGATGGGTGCTCTGGTGTGGTTTGCTCCTTCTTTCCTATCAAACATCTGTGGTCCTGATTTCTCCTCCTCCTTTTTTATGTTTGTTACTCTCTTGTAACACCTCTTAATCTTCGGCACTTATATGACCTTAGTGTGTTGCAAGTGCCGTAAAACACAAAAACTAAAAAACATCTATTGTCCTGATCTCTCCTCCTTCTTTTTTATGTTTGTTACTCTCTTGTAACACCTCTTAATCTTCGGCACTTATATTACCTTAGTGTTGTAAAACCCTTACTAAAACTAGCCCCTTCTCTCCCCCAACCCCCTTTAGTCCACAGTGATCACAGCTACCACCAGAAGAGAGAGCAGTTGTTCCAGTCTATGGTGGAGACCATGCTCACCTCCTCCAGTGGTGGACCCGCCACCTCTGACCCCACGCAACAACGACCGACCTCCGCCCAGGTGCTGGCTCAGAACGTGACGCCACTAACTTCACTCGATTCTGCTGCTCGAAGTTTGACGCAACAAACGTCGCCCAATTCAGCCGCTGGGAGGGCTAGGAGCAATCGAGGAATCAGCAGTGCTGGGGCAGGTGAGTGCTGGTTTGTGCGTTTTTGTAAAGACCGTCGAAAATATTGAAAACGACAACCCATTGTACAGGAGAAAAATGGTCGTCTTAGACAGATGGAAGTCTTACACAGTTTTATTTTAATGTAAGTAGTCAGTGAAATGGTAGGCACAAATGATGTCATGCAACACATCCAACTCCAAAGAATTAAATGGTTGGGACGTCTCATGCGATTACCAACATGCCATCCAGCTCATCATGCCTACATTAAAAATATTAAATGGCAACAAGGCTAGAGGGCAACCGAGAAAGACCTGGATTGATGGGGTCAGGGAAACACTAACAACTCATGGTATCCCCCTGACCCAAGCTCTCCGGCTGGCGACAGAGAGACGTCTCTGTCTTCCCACGACAGCCAAAAGGGTATAAGTGGGGAATAAAAGTAAAAAGTAAGATTTTAATGTTAAAAAATGCGGGGGGGGGGGGGGGGTGTTCGCACAGGTGATTGTCTTACGCAGGTGGCTGTTGGAGCAGATTCGATTGTACTAAAATAACGGTCTATTGCCACAGGCCTAAGTGGCTTACCATTGGTTTACTGCCACCAGCATCGAAGCTGCTGTTAGTAAGAATGCTTAGATCTTCATCCGTGACATTTGACAAAAGATCATATTGCACACTGCTACCGCTGACAACAGTGAGAGCCACAGCCACTGAAGTGATGCACGGACAAAAGGAGGTCACTGGAAGATCCTAGATCTTTTCTTTCCCTCTATGGGCTTTTCTTCACTCAAACTAACAGAGAAATTCTTTCCCCCCCTTGAAATAAGAGGCCTTTGTTTCCCCATGTTTGTCAGTTTGTGGCCTGCCCCCAACTTACACTGGGGTTTCTGTAACTCATAATGTCCAATCCTGTTGTGTTTGCTGTGTGTGTGTGTGTGTGTGTGTGTGTGTGTGTGTGTGGTTTAGAGGGCAGCGCTGTTTACCTTGCTTTTCTCCCCAACACTAAAAGACTGTTATTGTATTGATGTGCTTCTCTTTTCTCAAACAAACTTCCTCATGGATTCATCTTTTCTCAAACAAACTTCCTCATGGATTCATCTTTTCTCAAACAAACTTCCTCATGGATTCATCTTTTCTCAAACAAACTTCCTCATGGATTCATCTTTTCTCAAACAAACTTCCTCATGGGTTCATCTTTTCTTTCTTTCCCTTGTTTCTGCCTGTCCCATGTCCCAGCTCCAAATGACTGTTGTGTCAATGTGCTTCTCTTTACTCACACTAACATTTTGTTTTGAACCCCCCGGGGCGGTGCTACTGACTGAAGTGTTTTTAGGCCATTCCCAAAGGGCATTAACTTGTTCTTATGCACAGTAGAATTGTACGTAATTGTAAATGGGCTGATTCAACAATGTCATGCTAATAGCTGTGTCTGAACCTCAACGGGGAACTGCTGCTTTTTCTTTCCTAATCCTTAAACTATCGTCATTTTTCCTCTACTTCTTTTGTATGTTTGTCACACTCTTGTGACCCTCCATTTCCGGGGTGCCTTGATAGTCAAAGCAGATTTTGTGCTGTTATAGCTAGAGAGGTGAGCAGAGTAAGCCTGCTTCCCTGTGAGGACTTTTCTGTTGACATCCACCCCTTGGCGCTCATATGACCTTATGCAGTTGCGAGGGCCCAAAAAACTCTACCAAAACTAAAAAACAATTTGTTTTGTGCGTCCTGCCAGGTACCTCATCGTCGTCGAGGAGAGGAGCCAAAAGAAAAGTGGAGGTGGCTGCGCTGTCGTCGTGGTCAGAGGAGTGGTCGAGCGTGTCGAAGCGGCGGTCCACAAGAAGCCGCACAGGCCGGGGGAAGAAGGAGAAGAAAGAGATGGACTACCAGGGGCTGATGAGGAAATACTTGCCCTCCTCCCTCCTCAAGTCTTATCACGGCGATCACGTCTCTCTGCATGAGGACACTCCGATGGAGACGCCTGACAGCGCTGCTGCCCCTGAAACGACGAAGAAGGAAGATGGTCAAGGTCAAGGATGTTTGCCCGCCTCCGAATCGCTGAAAGCCAAGGAAGAGGAAGACGTTAGGAATTTTGTGCGGGAGTGTCTGAAGGGACACGGAATTCTTCAGATGGTTTACAAGTTTTTGCTCCGCTTGTCCCTCAAGTGGCGCTTGTGCTGGTACGAGGGCGTGGTGCGGGTGTACCTGGAGCTGTACGCCCGCCTGCGCAGCCACTGGACCGTGCCGTGTGTGCACGTCAGTCCGCAGGGGTTCAGCGCCGACGGTCTCCGCGACAACGCCTCGGTGGTTCTCGTCTGGTACGAATTGTATCTGGATAAGCTGATGGGGGAGAGAGGCGGCAGCAAAAGTAATTTGCTGAGTCCACCCCCGCCCTCTTTGAAGACCACCACCGCTGGCGAGGCTGGTGACGCGACCGACGCCAGTTGTCTCCCCTCAGCCAGGCAGCGGGAGGAAGATCTGCTCTTTCTGGCCGCCATGAGGAACAGGGAGGACGCCCTCGGTAAAAACAGCTGTTTTCTTTGGGATGTTTGTTTTTTTGTTTTTTCTCTCCCTATCTTTCTCATTTGTGCAGGTGGTTGGGTGGAGGGCACCTGTGGTGGATGTGGGTGGTTGGCGGGTGCTCTGGTGTGGTTTGCTTTTTCTTTCCTATCAAACATCTGCCCTCCTCCTTTTTTGTGTTTGTTACTCTCTTGTAACACCTCTAATCTTCGGCACTTATATGACCTTATTGTGTTGCAAGTGCCGTAAAACTCTTACTAAAACTAAACCTCTGGTGGGTCCAACGTGTCTTTTTGTTACTTCTGTCTACTAACTGATAGCTATTATGTTGATGTGTTTCATTTATGAGGACGGGTTGGAGGGTGCCTACGGCATGTCCAACTTTTTTTCCAGTGGCTCGTCTTCCTTTTCCTCGCATTAACTAGGCTAACTTATTGTGTTGATGTGTTTCTCTTTACTCAAACAAGCAGTTTGTTTCATATTTGCAGATGTTTGGAGGGCCCTACTGATAGGTCCTTCTGCTTTTCTTTTCCTCTCTTCTCTGATCTTACTGTCTGTGTGGGAGGTTGGACGGTGACAGTGGTAGGTCCTGTTTCTTTTCTCTCCCTATTCTTCATTTCATATTTGCGAGTGGTATATGGTGCCACTATTAAGTCCTACTTCATTTTTCATCCGCCTTGTCATTTCTGTGTGTTTTGTAGGAGTGTGTCACATGTAGCTCCTACTTCTTTAATTTCTCCGTTTTCTCTGTCTGACTTTTTCTCAGCACTAAATTACCATCAAGATGTGGATGTGCTTCTCTTTACACTTTGCAGTCACTTGGCGTAATAATCCGCCGGTGAAAATTATCCGTTCCGGTCATTTGGCGCACTTCTGTGCCAGGCCCAAGAAGTCTGTTGCAGTCGCTCTCCTGGCTGGGTTATCAGATGGGGTATTCTGTACTGCTGGCTGTGCGACTGCAAAGTGCTAACTCAAAAGAAACGAAGCTGAAGTATGAACTAGTGTGTTATTATCAAATATCACAGGTGAAACATTTTCAGTACATAACAATGACAATTTTTATTTGTTCAGGTGACAAATTTGGTGAGTTTTTCGTGCGGGTCTACTGGCTGAAGGCGAAGCAACACCAGCTTCTGAACGAGACCTTGGATGCCGTGGACTGTTACGAGATCACCACAGAGCTCCTGCAGGAGCAGCAGCAGCAGCAGTCTCAGAAAGAGAGCTCGGACATCCCTCCATCTGCTGAAAAGGGTAACCTGTCTTCCTACGAGAGAGAGTTCAGACGGTTTTAGATAGATTTAAATACAGTCCAAACCTGCATTAACAGCCACCTGTACAAACAACCACGGCTACTTCTTTTGTATGTTTGTCACTCTCTTGTGAACTGCTTTTTCTGAGGTGCCTTGATAGTCGAAGCAGACTTTGTGCTGTTGAGGCAAGAGAGGTGAGCAGAGAAAGCCTGATTCCCCGTTTGGACTTCTCTGTTGACATCCACCCCTTGGTGCTCATATGACCCTATGCAGTTGCGAGTGCAATAAAACCTTACTAAAACTAAAAAAGCGTGTATTGTCAATGGTTGTTTGGTTCTCCTCCTTAGTACTACATTTACTGTAACAGCTAACGTGTCATAAAGCTTGCAGTGTGGGTGGTTGGCCGGTGCTCTGGTTTGGTTTGCTCCTTTTTTCCTATCAAACGTCTATCATCGTTATCTCTCCTCCTTCTTTTTTGTGTTTTTTACTCTCATGTAACGCATCTATTCTTCTGCACTTGTATGACCTTTTTGTGTTGCAAGTGCCGCCGTAAAACACTTACTAAAACTAAACTAAACTAAACTAAAGCTTTCACTGACCCTGCCCTGGTGTCCTCAGTGAGTGTGACTCTCCCCAATGTCAAGTTCAGTGGCGTCATCTCCGAGCGAGAAGTGAGCAAACAGCTGGATAGTCTGCAGCGGTGCAAGAACCTGGAGGAGACGCAGAGACTGCACGAGCTGGGCAGACATGAGGAAGTGGTCAATAACCTCATGTCCACCTTCAGTAAACAGGTTTGTGGTCAAGGGGGGGCAGGTGCTCTGGTGTGGTTTGCTCCTTCTTTCCTATCAAACATCTATCGTCCTAATCTCTCCTCCTTCTTTCTTGTGTATGTTGCTCTCTTGTAGCACATCTATTCTTCAGCATTTATATGACCTTATTGTGTTGCAAGTGCTGTAAAACACTTACTACAACTAAACTACTACAACTGACCACACAATCCAGGGAGTGAGCAGCCCACGGGTGACAAGTCTGCCCGAGCGGCCGTCCCAACTGCTTCTGCTCCAGGACTCACTGCACAGCCTGGATCGGCAGAACGAGTGCGTGGTGTGGGCCGATGTGTCTCTCCACGAGACTTTGCAC